TTTTTTTTTACAATGCTCGGTAATATAACGTTTGAACTAACTTTTAGAAGTTAAGATAACGTTTTATAAAAGGTAGGTTAATCTCTGTAACGTTTAGTTTTTAGCATTTTATGAAAAAGCTACTAAAACAATTAACAGCTATCAAAACAATTAATTTTGCATGTCAAATCTGAAAAATAATAATTTAATAAAGTGATTAAATAGTAATAAGTTTACTTTTGGTTCTCATGCTTAATGATTTTTTGAAATGGCAAAATAGTTTTTCTAAAAAATAAAAAGAAAATGGTAGAATAGTTATTGGATGCCACAAAAGGTGGCGATAACACCAAGTGGGAAGGAGCCAAGCAAAGCAGAGTTGGGCGGTGACTGATGGAAATGGAAACAACCAAAAATTTTCCCAAGTGGTGGAGAAGGTTCCGTGGGGTTCACTTCCAAATGCGGCGAGACGCAGCATAACATGTAAAAAAGAAATTTAACGGAAAATAATAATAATAATAGAAAGAAAAAAAAAAAAAAGCATTTTCTTCACTTTACAAAAATTGATCTCTCTCTCTCTCTCTCTCTCTCTCTCTCTCTCTCTCTCTGATTCACAAATAAAAAAAATCCAATCGCATTGATGATGTGGATCCCACCACTCCCAAGATAGGAGGAGATGATAATGGCTTCACTTCAAGTGGCATCGTAATAAATTTTAAAAAGTGCTAATAGTATTTTCTGTTTTATAATAATTGTCCGTATTACATTCTAATTATATTTAATTTTAATTAAATGTAAAAAATTGAAATTCAACTTTTACCTTTTAAATTTTTAATTAAAATTATCCGTAAATAATGATATATATAAAATTAGTTTGATACGTAAAAATTTGTGAAAAAAAAAAGTAAAAAAAAAATAGCAATGAAACTATTGCATCAGTAGACTATAAATTTTTGCATGAAAAAGAAAAATAACACTGTGAAGTTAAAGAATAAAAAGGAAAATGTTAATTAATTAATTAAGACCCACAGAGAGGAGGTAATAAAACGACAGCCAAAATCGACGGTGACATGGGCCGTACTGATTGCTGCCCATTGGCCAAGAAAGAGACGTAGGAACTGCGACTTTTGTAGGTCCCATGCTCAGTAGAATAATAAATAAATAATAAATAAAATAAAACACAATCTTCTCCCAATCCCAATCTCAATCCATTGATTCCTCCTCTTCTTCACGTCTCTTTGCGTCTTCCAAAAGCCGCCTCCTTTCTCTCTCTCCATCCCCTCCTGCCAAGCTGTACAGCCGAAAGGAAGTATAACAATATTTGCTATACTTGATTCTTGTTTGCTTCAAAATAATCTATCATAGGACAATATAATTTTCAAAATATATTTTTAAACAAATTATTTAAAGAAATAATATGATTTACATTTATTTAGAATTTATTAATAAGAAAATTATTCTCAAATTATGCTTTTTAGTTTTCTTACCTCATAATAAGATAGCGACAGCCACAACCACGGTTATACTCGATGTGTTTCTTTATATTTGACAATTTTTTTACTTTGCATAGAAATTAAAAAAATAATTCGATTATTTTAATTTTATAAAAATTAAGAGTAATTGACTAATTATTTTTTAATTAATATTCATTTAATTGAAATTAAGTTTAATGTAAATCTCTTGACAAAGGTAAAATTAAATTAAAATAATTAATACTATCTTAATTTTCTAAGTGTCATCTAAATGGAAAAAAAAAATAAAAAAACTATCAAATGTAACAAAATTAATTTTCTTTTATACATCATATCACACGGTTAAGTCTCATTATTTGTTTATTCATAATAAACTTATTTTTCTTTTTCATCAAACGCATGTACAAATAATTCTTTTTATATATATAGTTATTATTTATTTTGAACGCTGTGTTAGGTTTAAAAGTAATTTTAAAACTAAAACAGGGGCTAAGATGGGTGGTACTAGCTTAGATAAGGTCAGTTACCTACTAGAGCTAAATTATTTTGTCCGCAGAAATGACATACGATTCCTCCAATAAAATAGGTGTTTAGCTTCTATGCCGCGTAGGAAACTGGTCAAGGCTTGAACTTAGTAAACCAAACTTTCCTTCCCATAACTTACTCTTGGATACCCCCAAGGTTGGATTCATTAACGTCAAATCAAAATTTCTAAATTTTAAATGATTTTTAAATTAAAATACTTTTTCAAGTTGCAACTATATGCATTTTTTTTTTTTTTTTTTTTTTTTTTAAGGCCATGAACACAGAAGAAATTATAACCACCCTCGTGAAAGTTAAAAAATGATCAAAACAAGGGTTAAATGTTAACCCCTAATTAAATTTAAGACCGCAACAGATTCCGACGTACCAAGTCCCCGTAATAAAACCCAACGAAACAGCCACTAAATCGAACAAGCAAAGGAAAATGGTAGAAAAACATTGTTGGCCGAATAGCTTGAGTCTTGCTTGCCCCTACTTTCGGAACCAAAGGAAAAAAGTCATTCAGGGAACAAATGCAGCTTTTAGTAATAAGGAATCTGACGAACCGGCCTGCATGCGGGCCTGCTCCAGGCATAGCAAAATAATATTAATAAAAACTAATACATACCAAAATAGCGAAAAACACGAAAACTATCTGCCCATCCGCCAAAATCTATCAGAAGTCACATTGAATTCACTACCTCCCATATAACTGGTCATCTCTCGTTTTGCGTCTTGCCCACAAAAGCCGCCGCCCCTCATAACTCTCCCATGCCCACCCCTCGCTCGCAAGCTGTAAACAAATAAACCAGGGAAAAGAGAAATATAATAGGCAATAAATAACAATATAAGCCCCTATATATCACTTGATATCTGTTGAACTTCAAAATAATCTATTAAACACTAGACTTAGCATCTATAATTTTGTCAATAATACTATTTACTAAAGTCGACATACTTAATTAAGTTCAACCACAGGAAATAATGGATGAGTTTACATTTATTTAGAATATGTTGATTTAATAAGAAAAAAGAATACTATTCTCAAAAATTAGTGACCTTTTTTTTTTCCTACCTACAAATACTCCTGTAGCGAACAGATCCCACAAGCTACTTTTTTTATAACGTGCAAGCTCGGTTACTAAAGTGTTTTTCCTTTAAATATTTTAAGACCAATTTTTTTAGGCTTTGCATAGAAATTAAAATACATAAATCCGTCGATATTCTCTAAACTCTCTATAAAAATTCAAGAGTACTGACTAATTCATTTTACATTAAACCATTGATTTCATTAATGAAAAAATAGAGTTAAATGAAGTAAATCTCTATGACAAAAGGAATTAAAATTAACATTTAAAGGAATAGTTCATACTACTCCTTTAAATATTCTAAAATAGTGCTCATCTAAAATGGACCAAAAAAAAATTTACAAGAAAAACTATCAAATGTAACAACAATTTAAGTTTCTTTATTTACATTCATAATCACACGGTTTTAAGATGTACTCATAATATCAGTTTTTATTCTCGTATTTAAATTTATTAATTGCTTACTCTATATGTTTCGTGTTTCGAATCAAAACGCAAAATCTGTACAAAAATTCTTTTACTAAATATATATTATATTACTAATATACATCTGCTATGAGAAAACCTTAACAACCTATTCACCCTCCTGGGAAAATGATTGTGTGTCCTAGGTTTAAAAAAGTGAATTATTAAAACTCAAAAACAGGGAACTTAAATGAATAAGGTACTAGCTTAGATAAAAAGATCAGTTACCTACTAGAGCCTCCACAATAATTACTTTTCCTGTTCCGCTAGAATGACATACGATTCCTACCAATAATAATAAGAAGTTGTGTTTTTAGGGCTTCAAAAATGCCGAACTTAGGAAAACTGGTCAAGGCTAATAGAAATCTTAGAGTTTAAACCAAACTTTCTAATTTCCCGAAACTCTACTCATATGATACCCGCCAAGGTGGATTCACATTCACGTCAAATCAATCACATATATTCTAAAAATTTTTAAAAATGATTTCTTAAATGTAACAATACTTATTCATAGTCTTGCATTTGCACAATAATATGCCAAATTTTTTTTAGAAGTAACCCTTGTTTTTGTTTAACTGTTAATAATGCAATGAAAAGATGAAACTAAAAACTAAGTAGATGTAATTGTTGTTCTCATAAAAGTTGGAAATCCGGAACAATGTGAAAATGCGAACGAAAATCTATCCCCCAAATTCACTCTGCACCCAAGATTGTAAAACCCAAAAAGCATGAAAATTAAGGAGTAACCACTTAAGAAATAGGAAAGGTGTTGATTTTTCTAAATGTGTTATCAAATAGGAAGAAAGCTAGCTATAACAAACTCCACTTGACCCACTCACAGGAAAGCAATAATGAATACCTATAGACACAACCAACCAATCACAAATGCAACATGCATAAACCCTCAGCAACTAAAAAATAGAAATAGCCTCAATAAAATCATTTATTTAGATATAAACCAGAAATGAAAATAAATTACCTATATCATTAAAAACAACCAGTATACCAAAAAAAAAATATTCGTCGTATAAGATAGACAAGTTAATCTTGATTTGTTATTATTCATCTGTCATAAATCTAGTCATCCACTTGACATTCACCACCAAGAAAATTAAAACACAAAAAAAACCAAAAAGAAAGATTTTTTTTTTTTTTTTTTTTTTTAGTGCAATGAAAGATGAACTAACTAAGTAGATGTAAATTGTTGTTTAAAGAATTGGAAATTACATGTGAACAATCTACCCAAATTCACTCTCAAAATGTAAAAAACATGAATTAGGGGGATGTAACTTAGGTAGGGTTTGATTTCTTTGTTATGGGCATAGCTGACAACTCAACTTGACCCACTCCAGAATTATCTAAACACACACCAATCACATGCACATGCATTAACCCATTACTAAAAATGAAATAGCTCTAAATTTATTAGATATACGAGAATAAAAAAATTCTATATCATTAAATAAACAAGGAAAAATAATTCTCGAAAGAAGAAAGTAATTTGATTTATTATTCATGTCATACAGTCATCACTTGACACAAAAGAAATTAAAACAAAAAAAACAAAAGGAAAATTACCGGCAAATTCATTTGTTCTCTTGAAGAGTAGTAAAAAGAGAAATCCTCAACCGGTAATTTACAAAAGCTCGCCGGAAAAGTAATCTGATCCCGGGTAAAAGTAACAAAAAATCATCTATAAAGGACTAAAGAGGAATTAATATTTTTCTCTTCCTTCCATGGTGAACGTCAGATTCACAAAACTAAACAAAAAGAGAAATTATCCTCTTCTCTTCTCTGTATAATCTGTCTAAACAAACAGGTTGAGCAGTTTTCTCTCTCCTCCATTACCGTATTGGTGATCTCCCAGTATAATCTCAGAGCATGTTGTCGTTGTGGTCACCGACTCCTCCGAATTCATCGACGGTGTTCCCGACCGCCGGGCTTCCGGTTTACACGGCGAAGTTTTAGGGGAAAAATTCGGAGTAAGGCGAAGATCCAGATCGTTTGGAGGGAACTGTAGTTGTAGCCGTTGCCGCTTTATGGTTACCGGTTCATCATTTCTTTTTCGTTTTGGCGAAACTTTAGATCTCGAATTAGAGAATCGGGAATGAGGATTCGGAACCTGCAAATTCCACATGTCCGTACAAGTCCCTTCCGCTTCCGACCCTTCATCGGACGTCGGAGACCGAGATCCTTCTTCGCCGGAGAGTAATTCAGGCAACGGCCGTAGCATGCCGCCGCGTAACACGGTTTCTACAGCGGCTTGACAAACATGCCAGTTACCAGTCCAAAGTAAACCTACGGCGCCGTTTACAGGATTAACTGTTCTACCGCAGGCTTCAAATAACAAAGATTGAAACAAAGCTGAAAAATCAAGAAAAACCAACGTCAAAACGAAGATCCGTTTCTTTTTCTTTAAGAAAAAGAAAAAAAAAAAAAGTACTAGGGCTTAATTTAGTGTATATATACTAACCAGGGCGCTGGCTTTCAGGTACAGCAGAGATAAAAGACATGAGGCCGGCACGGCCAAAGAATTTTGCGACGAAGACAGTAGCGTGGCCTTGTGCTTCAGGGCTCTCGATCCATTGTAAACATGGCCGTAGAATACAGGTTTCGCTGCACCCTTTGCGTAAGACTCTGCACCCGTTGCAACTCATTTCTTTTCCTTTTCACTTCAATAATAGTCACATGAACACAGTGGCTTACCCCAACCCGAAAATGGTAATTTTAAGCAACACAAAAATTTTCTTTGGGCACAAGGCTAAGATTGAGGAGAGGAAGACAGAGAGATGAAGAGGAGAAATTAAGGTTGCAAGGAAAAGGTGAAGAAGGTATATATAGAAAGTGGGAAAGGATTATTGAAGGGGTTGGTTTGGGTTTAATAGTTAACTAGAGTTGAGTTAGTTAAATAGTGGGTGGGTGTGCGTATTTAAAAACTGAGGGAGAAGGACATTGGGAAAAGAAAGGGGGTTAGATTCCAAAGACTTGGGTGCAAGCGGCTCCGTGTCTCCGCGGATGGTTGTCCCTCCACCGTTGGATTCTTAAAATTTTTAATTTTTTTTTGAAAAAAAGAGTCAAGTGTCGTGATTTTGGGTTTTTGTGGTGGTGGATATTTGAATTGATTGGTGCTCTGGTTTCGCTTTCGTCATAATTTAATTAAAATTAATTCATTTTAGTCTTTATTCCATTCAACGTTCCTTGGCATGATGATGGAGAGGAATGGTTATAGAATTAGAAGAAGAAAAGATGGGAGTTGTTATAAAATAATATGGCATGCACATATGTGGAGAAATGGGAAAATATTCGCATTGTAGTTGTGGGGATATGACGACGCTGGTAGTGTAGTGGGAGGAGAAAAAAGATAGTATTTTTAGTGGCTAATCAGTGGTGCGAGATTAGGAAACACATCCATTGTAAGCGGTGCCAGTTTTCTCATCTCAAATATTTTAGATCACCCATTTCTTTTTCATTATTATATCTTAAATCTCTAATTTTTCTTTTCACAAATTGCAAATGTTTTACAGTATTAATTCCCTGGTGTACACTCCAATTTGCATCAACACAGTTTTAGCATGACCACTCTGACTCTACCAATGTTAAAGAGTTACCATCCTCATTTGGTAATAAATGTTGTACTTAGTTAACAAGAATAATATGAATATAGATGATGCAGAGGACAGGGCACAATTAGATAATTCATCCAAGAAAACTCCTTCACTTGTCTAATTTGCCAAATCCAGTTCATTTTAAATGAGTATATTGTCCCACACTATATATACATACATCCAAATTCAGGCGCATATATATAGATATTGTTATCTTGTTGGAATTAATAGATTTATTATCCTAGTTTTAGTCTGGCAATTATTCATTAAGAAATAGGTTAGAAAACCTTATCTTTTGAGTGCATGATTAGTTGTCTGTACATAAGAAAGTAGTCCGTATATGTTAAATAAGAATGATTTTTAATTTGTTTCAATAAGCTAAACTATCTGTGGTACAGCTTGCACTATCTAGTATTTATCTATGATAAGGTGATAACATTTGAAAAAAAAAAAAAAAGATAAAAAGAGTATTGCATAGTTCAGAAATAGTAAATTAAGCTCCACTTTATCAAATAAATAATTACTATATATAACACTTGAAACTTGTAAATAATATATAGTTTTAAAGAAGTGATTTCATGTGAGTAATAGACAACAGATAGCCAAAATATCGGAAATATCTACTACCTTAGTCTAATTAATTAATCTATTATCTATAATACATGCAAATATGGGAATTGAAAGGGAGAACTTTAAGATAGATAGCCACAACGATGACATAGTTAAATTTAATAATGATGGTATATTCTTTAATTTCATTGGATAAAAAAATAAAAAATTTATTAAAACTTTAATTTAATTGATTAGCATATTTCTAATTATTTAAGAATTGTTTTTTTAATTTTCATAGGAAATTTAAAAAAATATTAATATTGTTTTTATAATGTCAGGAAAAAATTTTCCGCTTCATCAATTTATTTATAGCGTTGAAAATTTTATTAAGAGTATATTCAGTAAAATTAATTATTTTAATAATTATAGAAATTTATGTTTCGTACTTTGAAGCCTTACACTTTAAGAGTTTTATGCTACTTAACATGATAAATATAGTGTACATATATATATAAAAAGTAAGTTTTGATTAAATCAAAAGCACTAAATGATATGACATAGAAAGCTGTTCCTAAATTAGGCATAAATCAAATATTCAAGATTGAGTGGTGAAGAGGAGCTAAGCACCAATCTCCTCAATTTGTACAGTGATTACTTTTTTTTTTTTTTTTAAAGGCATAAAATCAAAATATTCAAAGATTGAGTGTGAAGAGGTAGCTATAGCACCAAATCTCCTCAATTTGTACAGTGATTAACTTTTTTTTTTTTTTTTTAAATAATATCATTCCTTTTATGTTCTTAGATTTTTTTTTTTTTTTTTTAAATAATATTCATTCCTTTTATGTTTAGATACGTGATATTATTTTTCATATTATTGAAAACCCTTTATTATATTTTTTTAATTGAAATCACCATCTTATAGGTATATGCTTATTTTTTATATTATTCACGGAAATGCAATCTGTGATAATAAATTTGGCAATGTTTCAATATTAATTAGGTGACTAATTACATATTTGTCAAATAATTGATAGAATAAATCACATGTAATCATTTCAATATCCAATGTATGCATAAAATTTTTTTTTATTAAATCAGCCATAGTTTTTTTTTTTTTTAATTTAACATTTCATTATGTTTTCGGAATTTTAGTGGATACAGACTATTAATTGAAAATTATATTGAAAAAATATATAATATATTTATTTTATATATTAAAGTATATATTTGATTCTTAATATTATTTTTACTTATTAATGTGTATTATAACTAAATAATGCATTTTATATATTAAAGTATATACTGAATTCCTAATAGAATTCTTATTTAGGAATTCTCATTTATAAGTAAATTTTAAAAACGGATTGCACATATATAGTTTTATGTGTTGACTGTTGAGTACAAGTTGTGATTATATTATGACTTGTGTTATGAATTTGCGAAATTCTAATGTACTGGCAATGACAAGACAATTAAAAGTGTGGATATAATCTTATCTTATAAAGATTTATAATGGGAATGTCTATGATTTAAAAGCTATGTGAAGAAAAAATGAGAGGTAGATATTATTTTGTTGCATTTGTTATTAAAAAATAACTTTCTTTTCAAAAATATTTTTCAAATGACTTATTTTTATTGTTTGATTGCAATGTTGAAAATTAATTAAAAATATTAAAACTTTTGACTCATAAGAAAATAATAATAATAATAATAATATAAATTAATATAAATTTTCGTTATTTTAAAATTCTTTTTAATATATTAATAATATAAATTTCGTATTTTAAAATTTCTTTTTAAATATGAAAATAATGCAAAAAAAAAAAGATAAATTATGAAAATTGCCGATGGTGGTCGGTAGTGATAGTGGCGAGCAATGAGTGATGGTAATGGCGAGCGGTGAATAGTAAATTAAAAAATATAGATTTATAAGGTTATAATAAGTTTGTCAAAATTCAGAGAATATTTTACGCTTTTGAGAATATAAAGTTATTTTCCTTAAAAATTATTTAATTTCCTTTGATCAAGAAAATATCTATTGACTTATTTTCCTGAACGCCCCCAAACAACAGAAAATTATGAAAAATATTTTTTTTGCAAGTTATTTCATAAAAATATGTTTAAAAAAATTTTAGTTTTATACTAGAGCGTGTAATTACATAAAAAAAAAAAAAAAATCAAATCATGTTCTTTGATCCTTTCTTTGGTACCCCTAAATATGTTCTGTTGCGAAAAAAAAAAAAAAAAAAATCATGTTCTTGATCCTTTCTTGGTACCCCTAAATATGTTCTGTTGGAATAGAAAGCTAGGAGCACTTAGCTCAGTTAAAATTTTTTTTTTAAAAAAAAAAAGAAATTTGAAAATTTAATGTTAAATCTAACATCTTAGAATATAGAAATGGAAGCAAATATGCACAAGTTTCTTTCCTTACAAAATAATAAAATAAAATTTTTTTTGCATGTTATTGTTACATTAATTTCTTGAGGAAGAACATATTTAATTAAAAAAAAAAAAAAAAAGACACACGGAAAGGAACAAAGAAACTTTTTGAAAAAAAAAAAAAAAGTTGATAAAACTAATGTTATGTCCACAAGCAAGGTTGCAAATTGATACAACAGCGTTAGGCTAGGCAAGGCAAATGCATCAGCAACATGGCCTCCATGTGCATGTGCCAAAGATCTAACATGATATTGATAGTAGTGTCTGATACCCCAATACTTGAATTCACCCTCGCAGTTTTAATTTTTTACCACTCTAAAAACCTATATTCGGTGACGAGCTACAAATTGAAGCTAAAAGAGTTAAAAAATTTCCAAAGATTAAGGAGGACAAATAAAAAAATATTTCAAAAGGTAAAATTAAAAACTTTAATAATTTTGAGAGACAAATTCTAAAAGTATTTAATATATAAAATGAAAATTTAAACTATTATAAAGTTAAAATAATAAAATCGAGAGATAAATTTATAAATTTAAGTGAGTGTCTTATTAAGCATCGTAGAAACTTTGGGTATGTACAAAACATTTATTTAAGAAAGAAAAAAGAAAAAAAATTATAAAGGTAATTAAATAGAGAGTAGACTTAAGGAGAACGTGAGTGGGCCCAGTCGATCGACCAATGGAAATGTCGTGGTCGCTGCGGACGTGGCGTCCTTATCCTTAGAGTCAAGCTCACGTCAGCTTTCCCCACTAGACTATTTCTTTCCCTATAGGGCCTACATATAGACTTTCTTGCCCCTACCCAAAACCTCTAAGCTTTGAAAATGATGGTATTGTTATTATTATTAATAAATTATTGTACTTTTTTTTGTCTAAATTTAATTTAATTTCATTTATCGGTGGAAACTGAAAAGTGAACTATTTTTCCATGTACTAAATAGAAAAAGACTGAATATATACTCACCATCTAAATTTTATAATTTTAGTTTTGTGTTATCTTAAATTTTTTGAATGGCTTATTGTGAATTTAAATTTTGATAATACAATAATAATTTTTAAATTTTGATTTGATATATATAATTAATGTAATTTTTGATATTTTTTAATTATTTTATAAATAGTTAATTGATCTAATTTTATAATTTCAGATACTCAATAAATAGATTTTGCTAGTTGAAATGTTTAATAAATATAATTTTATGAGTTGAATTATTTGATAAGTTAAAGTAAAAATGGAAAGTATAATAAAATTTAAGTAACAAAGTTTAGAGATCGAATTTATGAATTCAGCTTTTAGAATAGAGTGCCTTTTTTTATGAAAACTATCGTACTAATAATATCAAATTAATTTCATTGTAATTTTACTTTTTTAAAATACTAAAAGTTAAAAGTTAATTTTTGTTGACATTTTACCAATTAATTGGACATTGAAAATTACATCATAGTCAAATAAATAATATAAAAAAATACCATTCTTTTGTGGCCCTTTTTTTTTTTTTTTTAATTAATGTGGTTGAAGATCAAAAAATGCCATTTCCATATAAAAATCCTTCCAAATCTTGTTTTCCATGTCTGCAAATTCTCTGTTTTCATTTTTCTTTTCAAAATAGAAAATGAAACAAAATACATTTAGACTGCTAGACTAACTTGTTTGTCTAAATAAGAAAAAGAGAACAATTTTCTCTTAACCTTACATTTTTTTATTGGTAAATTGAGAGCTCCAGCATATATATATTTAGTACTAGTTGATTTAATAGGATAAGATAATTATTTATTTCAATGTCATTAACCATCTGTCCACCACTTAATGAACACTATCGTACCTAAAAACAGGATTATTTTTATTTACTGAAGCTTTTGATCCACACAAAAAAAATAAAAATAATAAATACTAGTAACTAGTTGACATTATTTTTATTTTTATCCATGATTAAAAAACTCAAATTTGCATCAGAAGCCAATCAATTTTTCTTTCCTAGTAACAGAATTATTCTAATGTAATTAGTTCTATTATGAGTAGCAGCAATTTGGACCATTCAATTAAATAAGCCAATCAGAGAACATATTTATATAAGAACAAATATAGGCAAATCTATTGGATTCCGATTTGTGGGGCCATCAAAATCTATTTTTAATAGGAATTTATCGTCTAGTAAAATCTGTTATTTGCTAAAGGTTAGCAATTTTAGTGGTTATCAATTATACTATTCACATTTTATTAAATATTAAAAGAATTAATATTTCATAATTCGCTCCCTCAAACTATAAATAATGAAAATGAAGTAATTTTTTTGACTCTAATTAAAACACTAAAAATTATATTAAACGCTCTTACAGGATCTAAAAGAAGCAAACTAATTACAACTATATCAATTATTCATTAATTCATCATAATTTTTATTTAAAATTACAAAGCAGGCTCTTCAAAGTTTTTTACTTCACTGACATGTAAAGATAAAAGTATCTACTTAGTACAGGTAGGTATTATTCGTTAATGAGTGGCTAACTTTTATTATGTTGGTTTTCCTTTTCCCTGTTTTTTTTTTTTTTTTTTTTTTTTTTTTTTTTTTTTTTTTTTTTTTCCCTTTTCCCTGTTTTTTTTTTTTTTTTTTTTTTTTTTTTTTTTTTTTTTTTTTAAATTACACCTCAATTGTAGAGTTCTGAATTTTGATTTTTTCATTATTGAAAGTTAATCCCTAAAATTTTTTAAAAATTTTTTTCTCAAACTAATTCAAATATAATTCGATGATCTGATGGGACTGATTTATAATTCTTACCATATCTTCAAATTTCAATCCCCAGTAATTTTTCTCTAATAAAAAATATCCAATTTTGTAAAGGTGGTCCATCCAACTAAGAGAAGAAATATCCAACTCTATGGTGTAATCCAGTCTGTCAAGAAACTGAAACTGAAGTTATTAGTCATTACCTAATACTATACTTCGCCACTCCAATGTATAAAAATCTCCTCAGTAGCTATATACTCTATATTAGAAAAATTTATAAGATCAAGAAATTTGTTTCAAGCTATATATTGGTCATCAATATAGTACAAGAACTTGTCTTTCGCAATAGACGTAAAGAAGAAACCATGGGAGCAAAAAACTTCCCTCATAAACCGGTGGCATCCTGACATTATCCTCGTGGCAGAAGTGGCTGCAGGTGAAGTTTTAGGATGAGATTTTTTTTTTTTTTTTTTTTTTTTTTTTTTTTTTTTTTTTTTTAATTACACCCAATTGAGAGTTCTGAATTTTGATTTTTCATTATTGAAAGTTAATCCTAAAATTTTTTAAAATTTTTTTCTCAAACTAATTCAAATAAATTCGATGATCGATGGGACTGATTTAAATTCTACCCACATCTTCAAATTCAATCCCCAGTAATTTTCTCTAATAAAAAAAATCCAATTTTGTAAAGTGGTCCATCCACTAAGAGAAGAAATATCCAACTCTATGGTGTAAATCAAGTCTGTCAAGAAACTGAAACTGAAGGTTATTAGTCATTACTAATACTATTACTTCGCCTACTTCCAAGAAAATAAACTCCTCAGTAGCTATATACCTAAATATTAGAAAATTTTCAAGATCAAGAAAATCTTGTTTCAGCTATATATGGCTCATCAATATAGTACAAGACTTGTCTTTCCAATAGACGTAAAGAAGAAACCATGGGAGCAAAAACTTCCCCTTCATAACCGGTGGCATCCTGACATACCTCCGGTGGCAGAAGTGGCTGCAGGTGAGCTTTTTAGGATTGAGATGATGGATTTCAGTGGAGGTCGTATTACACAGGAAAATTCTGCAGAAGACATCAAATATGCTGAACCTTCTATTGTGAGTTCCGTTTGCTTTTTCTTTTCCCCCTTTTAGAATCATATATACATTATCCAAAAATAATTAATAATTAAAAAACGTAATATATTTTTGTCCTTTAATGGAAGGTAGTGCCTTAGGAAAAATAGTGTCCTCTAATTTTGCTGTTAGTCTAACTTTAGGACAAAAGATAATAAAATTCAGTGGCCAAGTTAGTTCATTTATGGCTCCTTCAACGGCTAGAGTGGTGGTGCCTATAGATCTGAAGAAGAAGCCATGGGAGCAAAAACTACCTCTTCACAACCGTTGGCATCCAGAAATTCCACCGGTTGCGGAGGTTAAAGATGGTGAATTCTTCAGAGTAGAAATGGTAGATTGGACTGGTGGTATTATTAAAGATGATGATTCTGCCATCGATGTAAAATCCATAGACCTTTCAACTGTAAGTACAAATAATATGATCAATAGCTAGCAATTAAGGGTAGAACTCAAGGGAAATATAGAGTAAGTGATCACCATGTCAAAGAATTATGGTCTGTTTGGTAACTGTTGCAGGTTCATTATATGAGTGGACCGATTAGAGTTCTGGACAAGGAAGGAGTTCCGGCGAAACCAGGAGATCTGCTCGTGGTAGAAATATGTAACTTGGGTCCTCTCCCTGGAGATGAATGGGGTTTTACAGCAACATTTGATAGAGAGAATGGAGGTGGTTTTTTGACTGACCATTTTCCTTGTGCAACCAAAGCTATTTGGTATTTTGAAGGAATATATGCCTATTCTCCTCATATACCAGGTAAATGTGAAATTGTATTCTGAAATCTCAACAAGAACTTCAAATATTAAACAGAACTTGGGCTCATGACTATAGAATTGCACAAAAGAATTAGTATTTTATAGTATGGACTAATCTTAATGATTCTGTATGCAAATAAGGGGTGAGATTTCCAGGTTTGACTCACCCTGGAATAATTGGAACTGCACCATCAATGGAACTCCTAAATATATGGAATGAAAGAGAAAGAGAAGTCGAAGAAAATGGGCTGCAATCATTCAAACTATGCGAGGTTTTGCATTCTAGACCGCTAGCAAATCTACCATCACCAAAAGGATGCCATCTTGGAAAGGTATGCCATTAAGCTAAAAGGACTTCAGAACCATGGAACTGTTTCCATAGCACATCAATCTTTCTGCAGATTTTTGAAAATAAATATATAAAATTGCCTACTGATGCAGATAGTGTAGCCAATTGCCCTGACAACCAAAATTTTTATGCAGATAGATAGTATAGCCAATTGCCCTGGCAACCAAAATTTTTGTTTATGCCAAAATTGAAACATGCAAGTGCATAGAAAAATTCTGGTAAGAAACTTGGCAGGTAATTCTATGTGCAAGAAAGACAGCAAGGGTCTTTCGTGTTCCTGTTTGAGCTGCTATTGAGAATAATATGTCAGAATCATTAAATATATTTTGTCAAAGGTGAAATTGGTATGGTTTTGTAATAAAAACTCCAAAACAGTTAAAAACAATGTAGAATTATCTTTTTGAACGTATTGAGGGTGTTTCTTATTGGAAAACTAGAATTCAACCACAAAAAGAAGAAATGTAAATCTAACGGTTAATGTATCTTCTGCAGATCCAAAAGGGCACTCCTGAATGGGAAAAGATTGCTATGGAAGCAGCAAGGACAATCCCAGGAAGAGAGAACGGAGGGAATTGTGACATAAAAAATCTTAGCAGAGGCTCAAAAATATACCTTCCAGTATTTGTAGAAGGAGCAAACTTTAGCACTGGTGATATGCACTTCTCTCAGGGCGATGGCGAAATCTCATTCTGCGGCGCAATCGAAATGAGTGGATTTCTAGAGCTCAAGTAGATATTTCATATATTCACTTTGCCTATTAATTGCTTAAATATTTGCCCTACCATTAATCGTCCCTTACTGCATCTGCCTCTTTGATTCAACATCTGTTTGGCAATTGCATTTGGGTTGCTTTTAGCAAACTGCAGTTGCAATATTGAATACTTAGATAATCATGTTTCGAAAAGCAATTCCAAACAGAACCTCAAATCTACATTTAAAAGTTGTTGTTGTGGTATCAGGTGTGAAATCATAAGAGGTGGAATGAAGGAGTACCTTACACCGATGGGGCCTACTCCTCTGCACGTAAACCCTATCTTTGAGATAGGACCAGTAGAGCCAAGATTCTCAGAATGGTTGGTATTTGAAGGGATCAGTGTCGATGAGAGCGGAAGGCAGCATTTTCTTGATACAAGTGTTGCTTATAAGCGTGCAGTACTAAATGCGATTGATTACCTCTCCAAATTTGGCTACTCCAAAGAACAGGTTTATTATCCATAACCTAACCTCACATTAAGCTAATTCATTCATTCATCATTGAATAAAGTCAAACCAGAAAATTTTGTTGAATACATAATAAGAGAATATGCTGGTGATTATCAGATGTATCTCCTGCTATCATGCTGTCCATGCGAAGGAAGGATTTCAGGAATAGTTGATTCTCCTAATGCTGTGGCCACCCTCGCAATCCCAACAGCTATATTTGATCAGGTAGTTAATTCTCGTTCAATCTTTCAGAAATCAACAGTTATAATTTCATGTTTCACAAGTCAGAAAGTTTAACCATGGCTCGTCAAGTATCTTTACCAACAAAATGATACCTCATAATTAGGCAAACATTAGCAAAATAGTATATATTTTGGAGCACCCTTGGGAGAAAGAACTAAAATAAAAGTGATCCGACTTCTTGTTCTCCACTCGTTTTTCATTTCGTCGTTGGATAATTGAATTGTGCAGGACATTCGTCCAAAAAGCGACAAGGTGCCTGTCGGCCCTCGGCTAGTGAGGAAACCGGATGTCCTAAAATGCACTTATGATGGAAAATTACCCATCACGAAGAACCCCAGCGCCCCGTAATAAGGAATCAGCACCTTTTGACTCCAGCTTCTCATACCACTTTCCACGCCATATCTATGTACATACATATGTGTGCACGTATACATAAATGCCTATTTTATTAGCAGTTTATGGTAAGAGGAAGAATTTTGAACTGCAAAACCTTATTAATAACTTTAAAAATTCAAGGGTTATAAACTATGCACTTCTAAAAGTAAATGTCTGTCACAGGTATCTTTGCATTTACACATAATTTTTTGCAGAACTAAGTCTAAGATAGAATAGATCAAGTGTGTTGTGCTCTCTAAAAATAGTTGACCCTTCGCTTCAAAGAGACAAACAAAAGGATGCAATGAATTACTTGTCCTATTTGCCCAAGTACATCACCTCTAAACACTGAAGTCAAAAATTCTCTCTCCCAATAAAAAGCCATACTGGGAAAAGGCTATGGCAAAATATAATTAAGTCAATAGTATATGGAGAGTGTTCGATGGTGTTGGAGAGATGTACTTCGCACACCAAACGCCCAGAGCCAAAGATCCAATTCAATACTCAGTACCTGAGTAAACAAGTCATGAGATTAAAATAATAAAAAATAATAGGAGAGAGATCAAGAAATCAAGAAACTCTAGAAGATAAGGAGATTCTGTAGGTTGCCTGCTCGGTAACCCAGACTGAAAAGAAAAGTTTGATTGATGATTTATGTTAATTCTAAAACATGATCTTTAAATTCCTTTCAAAAAAAAAAATATATATCTTTAAATGAACTATTTATACAAAGATTAGTTAGGAGTGCCATAAAAAAAGGTTGGAAATTTGAATGAAAGAATAGTAACAGCGTTAACATTAACAACCCTTCAACAGTAGCAAAGTACATGGACTTTTCTTTAATCAAAAACTGCAGCCCAACTGCGGCAAATAAAATTCTGCTGGTGTGTAGGAAAGATAAATTTAATCAGGGATTTCTAATGATAAGCCCTAGAGGGCAAGGTTACAAGAGGCAAAGAAATTTATCCAAAGGCTCAAACATAGCTTATGAGTCACATAATGATTATTCATCAACAAAAACATCAATGAGGGAAAAAAAAAGATAATAGCAACATCCTTATGACTGATGCATAAAAGAGATTTTATTCCCCATAGCAACAGATTAATGTTGCAAGCTAAGCCAATATGTTTACGAGGAGATTGACAGCATAAAAGTTGCAAGCTAAAAACTGAGGCACATTTTCAGAAATTACATTTTAGGTACAAATTCATTTCCACAAAGGAAGCATGCAAACATATTTCATTTTCCAACTATTGAGTAGTGATGGGATTACATTGAAACAAGATTGGTATTTCTTATAAACTGATAGAGATAAAAATAAATGCACAAATATCTGCGCGAGTAAAATAAGTTAGTTTAACAGTACCTGCTTTCCTGATTTTACTCGAAGCAAGTCCCTCATTTTCTCCACTGCATATATGGAGCATGCTCTTAATTCAACTTCCTCCTCACTGCCTGAAGATAATTCACAATCAGACTCAATCATTTTAATGAGGTTTGAACTATATTTTAGCACACCAAGTTGCTGAAGCACCGCTGGAACAATATAGTCTGCAAAAATAGTGATAGAACCAATGTCCTTAAATTCTCCATATCCTCGGCCCTTGAATGCACCATACAAATCAGCTGCAAAAATCTGAGCTCTTTTATACAAGAACACTTGGTGGCCTTTGTAAACTGAGTGGTCTCGGAAACCTAACCATTCAAATCACATCAAGCAAATATTTCAAGATCCTTGGAAATAAAGGCTATACCATCCCTATACAACTAAAGTCAATATGTACAATTCTGACAAACTAAGAATTCACAATAAATAACCAAAAGAAAAAATAGAAAGAAATACCAGGAAAGTGACTGGTAATAGTGGCAACAAGCTTCGCAGCTGATTTCTCACAGGATTCCACAAGATTTGATGCTTTACCTCCAAAATTCCTTTCCAGTTCAAAACCAACCTATGTCACAAATTAACAGATATCAAATTACCTATTTTTTGTCACAAGGTAGGTTAAGAAATTGCGTATCATCTGAATTAGTTCCGAACAGATTATGCATTCGAACGACAAGAATTTTAGGCATTAATCTCACAAGAATGGGGAAAAAAAAAACAGGAATCAAAACTTCAAAAACCTCATGCAGTAGACGAGTTCTTTCATCCTCCAGAGGAAGTGGTCTGGGCCATTTTAACAACTCACGTAATTCAGGACCTGGCAACAAGCATTCATCTTATTACTATTTCGGGGGAAAAAGGCATATCCTGGGCATGCATGCATGGAATTCCAGTGGTCATGCATACAGAGCAAATATAGTAACATCTTTCAAGGAAAGAAGGAATACTAAATAGCTCAACTTATCAGAAAGAAATTGAAAGCAAGGAGATGGAAGGTTAATATTGATTATTAGCTGAAACATAAATATCTTCATTCAGAAATTACAACTCAAAGAATGTAGAACCAATGTAAGAAAGCAAAAAAAACATGCTCACTGGCAAGCATAATTTTTCACACGGACAATACAATTATATTCTTATTGATGCCTATTCTCTGCAGAATTCTGATTTTAGCATCACAATTGACAAAGAGAACATTATTATCCTCTGACTGTCAGGCAAGAGTTATACCAATCGCCTGAAAACTAACAAGAGTAACTTACCTAGTCATCTGGCAAACTAATTTTTACTTTGGCATCTCAAAATCCACTCACTTGTTTTCTTTTCTTTTTAATCAAAAATGACTTCTAATTTCAAAAATAACTCTTGGTGAATGTGATCAAACCCGCCAATAAAGATGTATAAGGACACAAAATTGACAAAAAAAACAGCATTACCTGTGTACTTTTGCAGACGATCAGCATCAAACACAGATTTGTCATTTTCCAAAGCTTCCTTTAGGCCTGAAGCCAAATGATCATAGCTTAAATCCTTATCTGCAGAGAACAGGCAGCAAATTATCCCAAAAAAGAAAAAAAAAATGCAGTTAGCAGAGCAAACTAAGTAGCAATTGTATTGGCGGCAAATAGAAACTTGTGACACTACATAACTGCAAATTATCATTAGTAAAATATTAGAACATTTTTTGTCAGAGCTTCAGACAGAATATTTCAAATTGATAGTTTGATGGTAGATTAAAGATGTCCTGTTATATTAAAGTTTTCACAGGACGAAGGTTCAAGTCTATCTATCAAGGCATTGGCAATGGCCCTGCAAAAGGATTTTCATGCATAATGGCAGAGAAGAGTTTGTACATGCAACCCATGGTGAAACAGAGGAAACATTTCAATCAAAAGAAGAGAAAGGGGAAGATAGACACCAAGCAAAAGGATTTGGAAACACGACAACCATAAGCTAGCAAGAAGCAAAACATCAATGATAGGTCATCAGATAACATTAGATCCACAAGCACACATAAGGACTTTAAGCTAAAAATACAAATAAACAAAGAGAAACAGGGTGAAGAGAACCATACCAGGCCAGAAGCAAAAATTCAAAGCATCCAAAACAAACAAGTATTGAACGGTGAGTGGTCCGTCATCGAAGTAATGAATCCCTTCAAAGTCCCATTCTATTCTCGGAATTTCCTGAATGTTTTCCACCGCTTTTTCAATCCCTACACCACCACATTTTCATGAATAAACAAATTACACCTCGCAGTAGCAGCGAGAACTTAAAATGGCGGTATTACCGTACCCGCAGAGTCGACGACGACATGAGAAGAGCGGCTAGCCACCCAAGCAGCGCTTGCCCTAACCTGTTCCATGGTTGCCGCAGTAAATGTAGATATTTTGAACCCTAAAATGAAATTTTATATAGGAATGAAATAATGGTGCGCGCGTGAGCCAATGGTCTGCTAATAAGTTTCCCGCTTTTGTTTGGCAGTTTTAGTTGCATTAGTCTAGTTTGTGGCGTTTGGTGGTGGTTTTTTCCTGTCCCCGATGAGTGGAGTGAGTGTCGGCCACGAAATTTCCATCAAGGGCTGCGTCTGTTTTTGTTTGGGTCTCACGTGGGAACATGGAATGGAATGGAAGTTACTAGTAATGGGCCTAAAAAGTAAAAAGCAGCCAATAAGGCAATGAGTTTCAACTTTCAACAAACTTGCCTTTTGAGTTTTGATTTCTTCGTCAATAAAGGTGTTGGATAAAATGTGAAAGACCAAATAGTGTGAAGAAGACTTATCTATCGGATGAGAGGCTGGGATTCCCCTTTTCAATATTTTTGGAGAATAATATTTTAAAATTCAGTTGGCTTAATATTATAATTGAAAAAGGTTATTATTACCGACATTTGTTTCGGCATTGGACTATTACCTGCCTATTAATCATCATTGTATATCTTCTAAAAATATATATATATATAATAGATATTTTTTTCTTGGTGATAAATTATTGAGAGTATAACTTTTAAAAAAAATAAATGAGTTTTGAGGAAATAGTATTTTGAGGGATAAAATTAGTTGTTTTGATAGCAGTCAGCTATTTAAGTATAGTGGTAGAACTAAGGTGGCTAGTGGTGGTGGCTGCTTCCTAATTTTTAATTTTTTTAAAATTTATCTTGTAATGAAATATATTAAATTTTACATTTTACCTGTAAAATAGTTGTTTTCATTATGGCCACCTCTAAATATTGAAAATTTTTCAGCCTTTTTTTTTTTTGCCTTTTTTTTGTTATGCTATTGTTTGAGTAGTTTTTCAAAATGTTAAAAGTTAAACGTCACATGAGTTAACTTTTCACAAAACGCTACCCTAATTTCTAAAAATTAATCTAAATGTTAAATTTATTGAACATAGAAACCACTAAAAATTTACTTAAAAAACTGTTACCGAACACAATTTTAATAAATATTCTATCCTAAAATAAAAAATATTAAATAATTAAATAGAAATTTAAATTTTAAAAAACAATAAAAGTCGTGTTTTTCTGAAAGGTAATAGTAGCACTTGTATTGACCTGAAAGTAAAATCGGAAGGACAGGACGCCCACTCTCATAGATCATACGCAATTATAGACGAGTTGCAAGGAACTGTGTTGAACTTTTAGCAAATGAAGTAGGACATTCAGCAAATTTCATTTATGTTATAACATTGCATTTTTTTTATCATGTTATAAAAAAATTTATAACATTGCATTGTTATTACATTGTATTACAATTCAACCTGGATTCCTTTTTTTTTTTTTTTTTAACAAAATGTATTGTAGACATTGCTAAAAGCATAGTACAACACAAAAATTTCCAGCCCATTAAAAACCATATTACAAAGTAAATTACAAAATTCATTAAGTGCATGAAATAAATCAATTAATTAAAATAGTAATAAAGAAAGGTATTGCACATGGGAATTGTTTGATCTTGGATACCTCTCTAACCATGACAATTAAGGTTTTATGTGCGATTTATATTAAGAAATTCAATTTTATTTTTTTATTTTGTTTAATTTTGGTTTGAATATGAAATTAATATTTTAAATCTATATGATTCACTCATAATTTTAATTCGTAGAATAGTGGATCAAAATAATAGAGTTCATAATTTGTTTTTTAGAAGAATACCAGAATAGAGTTCACAATATTAATTTGTCGGTGAACTGAAGTTGTAAAAGTTTCAGAAACCATGTAGGAATCTACTAGGTGCCACGTTGATTGGATAAGATTAGTTGTCTTTTGAGACGGCTTTATTCAAAAATGATAGTGTAGATTTTTTCTTCTTTTGAGGAGTAGTCCGATGTATGTACAAACAATGTGCCATTTTATTATGTCTGAGAGTAATATCATTTTTCGATTTATTACTGTCTCCTTTTATAGAGATTTTCTCATGGACCCAACCCATAATCTATATTCATCAGAAGTTCTGAGTTTCTGTGCACACCACCACAACCCCCAGGGCAAAGATTTCCTCTTGAGCACCCATCAGAATTAATTGCAATCCAGCCCAAAGTAGGATATTTCTTAATATTAATAGTTTAACTTTTGTCGTAAAATATTATCGGAATAAAAACATTAAAAAAATTTAAGAACTCAACATAAAAAAATATAAAAACTTAAACCAGACAAACAATTGTTTAAATGGAAGTCTCGAAATAGATTCTTTCAAAAACATAGATATTAATGTTAAAAAAAATAATATTTAGTACAATGTTTTATATAATGCGAAACGTATTCATGCGAATGTATTTTACAAATTGTTTATTCTAGCACTGTTAGCATTTTAAAAAATTTATTTTTCAGAAGTCAATAAAAAATATAAACACAATTTAGAATAGTAGCTACAAATTCAATCCTACTTGAATTGCCTACCTACGACTCAAAGCTCAATTTCTGTTACCAAACAATCAAAAGCCAATTAGTTTAATTTGGCAACTCTGAACAACTCGTTGTTCCACGTTTCCTATCCGAATTTTTTGTTGCAATCCAGAAAACGATGTCGTGTGCAGTACCCCAAATCAAAGGCTCAAACTCAAATGCGATCAAACGGCATCGTCTATTTCATTTTTCTTTTTAGCGATTTATTTTAATTAGCAAATGAAGGGGGAAAAGAAAAGAGGGGAATATTAAAAAGCAAAAAGAAAAAGGTAAAAATAAAAATGAGATGGGGAAAGAAAGCGATTCCGGTTCCGACTAACTTAAAACAAACACCTTTTTTCCCTAATTTACGATTTGATGGCCATAAGGCCTCTGCTACAGCAATTCACAATCTTCCATCATCGGCACCATAACAACACAACTTTCTTCTCTCTCTTCTTTCCTTCTACAACTAAGTCTCCCTCTCCTTCCCTTCTCTTCTCTTCTCGATCGCCAATTACCTTATTGCGTCGCTTCGCATCTGGCGCCACTTTCTCTCACCAAAAGCAAGAGCAACAGCGCCAACCGCCTGTAGGCCTCCATCGCTCGAAGTCGTTAGCTCCGTTGCCAGACACGCTGGCGCAGAAAATCGGGAAATCAATTCGCCGCCCTGGCGCCCCTTCCAAAGCTAGGGTTTACGGTGATGTTAATGTTATCCGGCCTAAGGAGTACTGGGATTACGAGTCCCTTACTGTCCAATGGGGGTAATTGTCTTTGTTGTTTTTAGGAGTTGTTTTGCTCTCTTTTATTTGATTGCCTTGAAAAGTAAAGGGAATTGACTTTAATTTAGATGGATGGATTAGTTGTTGCTGGGAAATTTGGATCATTATTTGCCATGCGATGAAACTTCACGCATATTTAATTAACCATTTCGGATTTTGCTTCCAGTTGGGTAGTGTATTTACGATTGAGTATACAATTCCTTGGTTTTATGCTTGGAATAATTTCATATTAACCACTCCAAGAAACTGTATTATGTGATAGTAGTTCATTTGTGTACCTGGCTCACTTCAGGTGGGATTCAGGTTCATGTTTCTGTTAATTTGCTTTCTGTTTTCGTTCTAACGGTGACAACGCTATGGAAGTGATTAAGTTAAATAGTTGATATAGGTGTGGTTGGGTTCAGGTCATTGCTTTCTCTAGGGTAGGGTTTAATAACAACATTCAGCTCTTATTAGTTTTAAGTTGCTTATAATGCTAACATGTATATCGCTTAGAAGTCTTGATTAAGCTGAAATGAACTTAAAATGATAAGTCAAAAGTTTCTCCTTAAATTTTGCACTAAATACAATCTCAATAGGCTGTTCAATAAATTGCATCATTTAAATTATTCAGCACTTAAAATTCAAGTGTTATATTTTCAGCACTAATCTTCATTTTCAACAAATACCTTCTAAGTAATCAGCTATACAAAGCATATTAATTGGAACTTTTGTCCCTTTTGCGCTCTGCGTTTCTTTCCCTTCTGTCTTTCAGTTACTTTGTCTTATAGTTGTTTGATGGTGTTTCCAGGGAGCAGGATGATTACGAGGTGGTGAGGAAGGTTGGACGGGGAAAATATAGTGAGGTTTTTGAGGGCGTCCATTGCACTGATAATGAGAAATGCATCATTAAGATTCTCAAACCTGTGAAGAAGAAGAAGGTGAACCTTAGTAATTTGCATCAGTCATTTTCTTGTATTTTATTTATTTTTGAATTTTTTAAACAAGTAAATGATTGCACCAGCTGGGAGTTGAGCTTGGCGCAGTGCTGTGACAGACTGCTGGTGCTATTGTTTATGTAGATGGTTATCTTATTAAATGAGTATAATTGTTGGAAGTCAAGAATTGTGCAGTGTTGAATTTTTCATTCATTTTTATCCTTTTGGTTCCATCTATTCATCTATAGCATTTGTTCTTATCTTGAAGAATATATAGACAATATAGAAGTTTGTTTGCCATTTATTTGGAGATATCATATATTTATAAGAGGGAATTTTTCATTGAATACTTGACACAACATTTACTAAATTATTGAATAAAAAATCTACTCTATTATACATGTGCCACAATAGCAATTAGAGTTAATTTAAATTTTCAAAGGAAAGAGGGATCATTTCACAATAAATAAAAGGAAAATTTAGGAAACAGTAATTATGATCAATTAATTGGAATTTAGGGTTTTCAGCTTTATTTAACTTCACACGTGGATTGGTTAGGTGTGGTTGAAAATGATACATATAATACCACTTTGCTACTTGTTTTTTTTCATTGCTGGTAAATGGTTGTTGCTGTGATTATAATACGGTCAAATTCTGCCGTTAGTTTGTAGATTATTATTAATGGCTAGTTTGCAAACTAAGGGAAAAAAAATGAAAAACAAAATGATGCTTAGAACCCATAATGCAGGTTGTTAGTATGGGGTACTTCAAATGTGCTTCTAGATATTTTCCTTATATGTGTTAATGCAATATAGAAAATATATATTTTTTTGACCTTTTATATGTGTTTATTTATTTATTGTGTGTGTGTGTGTGTGTGTGTGTGTGTGTGAGAGAGAGAGAGAGAGAGAGAGAGAGAGAGAGAGAGAGAGATACAAAAAAATGAATTGCTTAGAACACATAGTGCGGAGTTAGATTAGATATGAGGTGTACTTTTCAAAATGTGCTTCTAGATATTTTTCCTTATATTGTTTTGTTAATTGCCAACTAATAGAAAATATATACATTATTAATGTTGACCTTATTTATACTCGTGTTTATTAATTTATTGTGTGTGTGTGTGTGTGTGTGTGGTGTGGTGTGGTGAGAGAAGAGAGAGAGAAGAGAGAGAGAAGAGGAGAGAGAGATGAGAGAGAAGAGAGAGGGAGGGGGGGCGGAGCAATTTAAACTAGCTATTTTGAAATTTCTTCTGTGAAAAGTTGGATTTCATTCTATCCACCGCTTTTAAGGTTTAACCTTGGCTATGTTTATTGAACATTGGGTGCCTAGAATTTCCTTGCAGATATAGATTTTAGCAACTTAGGCAAAAAAAAAAAAAAAAAAAAAAAAAAAAAAAAAAACTCTTTAAGATAAATTCAAATGTAGTGCGCATATCAAGTACTATGAGAAACCAGTGGTTTACTTGGTTGAGTAAAAAGAACCATTAAAAAGATAGTGTGTGAATACTTGTGCATTTGGTTGCACTTTGTGAATATGTTTTTAGTGCATGTCTTACTAGGTGTCTTACAAGTAATGTTATTTGCAGAAATTTAGGCCAACTTTGTGTTGAACATTAGTGTTTATTTAAGCACAGGGATGGAAATTAGTTAGATATGAATTCCATTTTTTTGCTTGCCACGTGTCCATAGCTCAGGTATGTGGTGTCTCTAGAAGTGGGTATGCTGCTTGCTTTTTCTTCTTTTTTTTAGGGAAGATAAAAGTATATACACCTTTGCACATTATATATGCTATGAAAATTGAGATTTTTATTATGTCATATGAGAAATCATGTAGTTGAATGTAAACACATTGATTTGGTTAAACTTAGAATTTTTTGACAAACAACTTTATTTTTATTAACTATGAAAAGACCATTAATATGAGGGGAATTATAATAATATTTATATAATGGTAGGAATAAAAAGTAGAAATTATATTTAGAATAAGTAGGTGTAATACCACAATAACAACATTTGAGCCTCAGTCCCTAACTAGTTGAGGCTAGTTATATGAGCCTTTTGTTTCTATTTTGCTATATTCAATAAAGTATAGAAACAACAGATCTTTTGAAACTTACCTCCATATGGTTCTAGGTCTACTTTTTCCTCTTTTAGCATCCTTGACTATCAACGTTTTACATCTACAAACTGGAGCATGAGGGTCTAGTAGGATATTACCAAATATCTTAGACATCCTTCTCTTATTTTATCTCCAACTTGTGCTACTCGCACCTTTTGGTAGGCATTCTTATTTCTAATTTCATCCAATCTTGTGTAACCACGTATCCATCTTGACATCTTCAGCTTTGCATCATTCATTCTATGAACATGTTGGGAATTCAGGGCCCAAGATGCATTCCCGTGTAACTTCGCAGGTCTCACCGTCATTTTATAAAATTTGTTTTTTACTTTGTTAGATATCTTTTATACATAGCACACCTGTAGCATTTCTCTATGTCATCCATCCTATTTTAATTTTATGAGTTACATCTTCATCTATCATGTTACCTTCTGAATACTGAGTCTGTGTGAGCTTAGCAAAGCATAGAAAGTCCTAGGCTCAGGCAAAGGATGAGAGTTGCAGTAGATTGATGGCCAAAACTAAAAATAGTCAAACCCCGGTTTGAATTCTTTGAATTAGGTGTAATATAACATATAGGGAGATTCTTTTTTTTTTCTTTTAAATATATTTTGAGCTCTAATTTTTTCGTGTTCTCTTAAAACTGTATGGTTATTGATATTTGCATATCATCCTTGTTAAATTGCTTTTTAAAAGCCTTTGTGTCACCCTTGCATATATTCCCTAAAATTTTTTATCAAAATAGTTATCTGAAGGAAAGGCAATGTACAATTGTTTTTGTTTCATTAATAATTTACTCTCACAAACACTATGAATCGAATAAAAGAATAATGTAGTGCTAGATTTAAGAACACTCCTATCCAATAAAAAAAATAATTATCAAGAATAATTATTTGATTTGTATTATAATGAGATTTCGAACAGTTGACGTACAAATGGAAATTCACTCGTATATGTAATGCAAAAGGAAAGGAAAAGGATTTCTGCGTCATCTTTATTAAAATGAAATGCTATAGCTATAGCGAAATTACCAAGATGAACTAGCTATATATTTAATTAAAATCTAAATGTGTGTAGAGTAGAAATTGAAATTTTGAAGCAACTTGCCTCTCAAAGCTTTTGCCTAAAATCTGTTTTATCATTATTCCTAAACTCATTATGTCTCATCATTACTCCCTTTGTAAAGCTCATCAGACCTAGATGGCAAACATTTCTGTTTACAACCTGCACATGAGGAAATTTGATCAATTAAAATAATAAAATATATGCTGCAAACATTAAGAATCCTTGTAAGTTTTAACCAACCAAAATTTAATTATGAATTCATGTCCTACATCCAACTAATAACAATACAAAACAACATTAGAATTCCAATTTGAAACCAACTAATAACAATACAAAACAACATTAGAATTCCAATTTGAAATAACAACTTAAGTTAACCCTAAAGGGACTTTTGGTAATAGAATTCTGATGTCCTAATTTCTTAAACAAATATTTTACGTCTTTTTACTTTTATATTTGTTATAGATAAAATATATAGCATTTATTTGGGGTGACTTCATGGCTGAGCTGCCCTGTTAACATGGGTGACATTATTTGCTTTATTTGGTGAAGATAGGTGCAGTTAGCTAAGATTGTAAAGCATGCCATCCCTGTTTGCTCATCAAATGGTGCAAAATAATATGTTTATTTTTATGTTAGAAAGAAATGCTTTTAAAATGAAGTTAGAGCGTTATTCATTTTGTCAAAGATCAATATACCAGATGGGATTCAGGAGATTGTTCAAATGAATATTTTTTATTGGATGCTTTTGGAGACTTTCATGTCTTGATTCCTGTACTTGTTTCCCTTAGTCCTTGTTGACTGGGCAATCATGCTATAAAGCCATGTTATTTTGTAGGATTTTGAAGTCATCTGTCAGCAACTGTCATCTGGATTTTAATCTTATGAAATTTGTTCCTGTATTTTGGGCTATATATTTACTTTCCATTTTTTAGGATCTGGATAGACATTTTCAAACATCTGCTTCTGACGGCCAATATATCATCATTATATTAGTAGACATGCAGCTCTACAATTCTTTGGTTATGATGTGAGCATTGATTCTATATGACTTTTTTTGTAGTCATGGGTTTTATCAGTTATTTTCCTAAAGAGAGATCTAATTGCTTGCAACTGTAGAAGATAAACTTTATTTACTTTTTTCTGAATGTTTTCAGCTTATGTGCTTATTTTGTAGGATGACTTTGCTAGACTAATTTTTAGTTATATTGAATGCAGATTAAGAGGGAGATTAAAATACTGCAGAATCTCTGTGGCGGGCCAAATATTGTGAAGTTGCTTGATATCGTTAGAGATCAGCAATCAAAGACCCCAAGTCTTATTTTTGAATATGTAAATAATACTGAGTTTAAAGTGCTTTACCCAACACTCTCAGACTATGACATTCGATATTACATTTATGAACTTCTGAAGGTAAGTACACATTTTTCATTTATCTTACACTGGGAGCTGAATGTATGTTATGTATATTAATCTTTCATAAATGGTATCTGAGGTAAAAATGGAAGATAGATTGACATTGACCTGCCTTGTCATCTAAACTACTATTTTTTTTCCCGTTCTTGAAGATTGAATTGATTATGTTCTATGTATAATTTAATTACTAGATTTGAATTTGAAATTCTCAAATGTTCTCCGGAGTATAGGAGCCAACCCTTTTCTCTTTGTCCAGTGGTGGGGAAAAACTTGGTGAGGACACTGAGTCCCTTAAGAATAGTTGTGTAACACCCTTAGGTTAATCCCTTATTGGATGAGCACATGATGGAAGTGTGCAGATTCTGTAGGCTAGCAAGAGGCCTTTTGGGTAGAGCGCTAAAGTCTCTACTTCAAAACAAAACCATGAGAGGATGACTATCGAGGCTCCCAAAGAGGACAATATCTTGTGACGGGTTGGGATGTATCCAGATCTGTACACAAGTGACATGAAACTATCTTGAGTGTGCAGTGGAATTGACTGAGGTGTTATAGATCAAGGATGAGAATTCGTATAAAGCCATGTTATTTTGTAGGATTTTGAAGTCATCTGTCAGCAACTGTCATCTGGATTTTAATCTTATGAAATTTGTTCCTGTATTTTGGGCTATATATTTACTTTCCATTTTTTAGGATCTGGATAGACATTTTCAAACATCTGCTTCTGACGGCCAATATATCATCATTATATTAGTAGACATGCAGCTCTACAATTCTTTGGTTATGATGTGAGCATTGATTCTATATGACTTTTTTTGTAGTCATGGGTTTTATCAGTTATTTTCCTAAAGAGAGATCTAATTGCTTGCAACTGTAGAAGATAAACTTTATTTACTTTTTTCTGAATGTTTTCAGCTTATGTGCTTATTTTGTAGGATGACTTTGCTAGACTAATTTTTAGTTATATTGAATGCAGATTAAGAGGGAGATTAAAATACTGCAGAATCTCTGTGGCGGGCCAAATATTGTGAAGTTGCTTGATATCGTTAGAGATCAGCAATCAAAGACCCCAAGTCTTATTTTTGAATATGTAAATAATACTGAGTTTAAAGTGCTTTACCCAACACTCTCAGACTATGACATTCGATATTACATTTATGAACTTCTGAAGGTAAGTACACATTTTTCATTTATCTTACACTGGGAGCTGAATGTATGTTATGTATATTAATCTTTCATAAATGGTATCTGAGGTAAAAATGGAAGATAGATTGACATTGACCTGCCTTGTCATCTAAACTACTATTTTTTTTCCCGTTCTTGAAGATTGAATTGATTATGTTCTATGTATAATTTAATTACTAGATTTGAATTTGAAATTCTCAAATGTTCTCCGGAGTATAGGAGCCAACCCTTTTCTCTTTGTCCAGTGGTGGGGAAAAACTTGGTGAGGACACTGAGTCCCTTAAGAATAGTTGTGTAACACCCTTAGGTTAATCCCTTATTGGATGAGCACATGATGGAAGTGTGCAGATTCTGTAGGCTAGCAAGAGGCCTTTTGGGTAGAGCGCTAAAGTCTCTACTTCAAAACAAAACCATGAGAGGATGACTATCGAGGCTCCCAAAGAGGACAATATCTTGTGACGGGTTGGGATGTATCCAGATCTGTACACAAGTGACATGAAACTATCTTGAGTGTGCAGTGGAATTGACTGAGGTGTTATAGATCAAGGATGAGAATTCGAAGACAAATGCTTGTGTTTTGCTGTTAGTGTTGTGTTTCTTTGAATTTCTTCAAATGAATGTGCAGAATGTGAAGTAATGCTGTCCTGTTAATATGTTATCAGGTTGGCCAAGTTGTTTTATTGGTGCTTCCTGGAATGTTATAATTGTTGGCATATTGTTATTGGTTCGGCCTGCCTGTCCAAATATGGAGTGTGATTTAGGAACTGTTGCAATAAAGGTGTCAAGCTTCTTGGATATTTTCTGTTCATCTTCTAGTTGATAAGTTAGTAACTCTGTTATTGCTGCACGCATATTGTTGTTGTTTATAGTCAGCATGGCGTCATACTGAGTATGCTTTATGAACTGTTAGAATAAAAAGCATTGGGCTCCCGCAAAATTTGGTTTTTATTATCTGGCTGATAAGTTAGTGATGCTGTTGGCTTTGGCTTGACCTTGTTTGTTATTATAGCTTCTCTGCTAAACAATTCTTTTTGGCTGAAATATTCCTGTTTATCTCATGTTATACCAAAATGAATTTGGCTTCTCATGCCTTCAGATAATATGCATGTAGTGGGTCTATATCTACATGAAACACTCACGCGCACCATATTTCCATTGTATTTTATGCATCAATTAGCTGGAGTGAGTTTAAAGTTTCAAACTTACCTCATTTTTTTCTTCTCTCAGTTTTTTACGTATTTCAGGTTATATGTTTTAGTTTTCAATTAGAGAAATATTACTTAGGATGCTGAGGAATCTAATTGACATTTTAACTATGGTTATCTACAATTAGCACTTTTAACTTTGCTTTAGCAGACTTTCAGTGATGAAATTAAAAAAACAGAAAAAATAATAACATGTGGGGCTTGCTCTCTGTGTGAAATCTATATATTTCACATTGCACTATGTGTTAGAATCGTATTGACTGCCCCTTTTCCCCTTCTCTTCCTCGTACTTGCTGCTGTTAATCTGAATAAGTTAGCCTTGCAAGTTATGCTAATGACATTTTTGGACTTATAATTGTTTTTGTATTTGGAGGGTTTCTTGTGTAATGCTCCTTGTTGGGCACCATGTTATCTACAATATATATTCTTCAGATTGTTGTGGGGCATTACCTCAAAATGGGGGAGTAATAACACTCTCTTTTTCAGAAGTCTTGAAAAGCTTAACCGTTATCATGCAGTTCCTTGTTTGTAAAAGGCAGGAAAAATGGTATAAGTTTCTTCTTGACACAATTTTCCTTACAGAATGGATGCAGCCTCATGGTTACTACGGGAGAAATTTTTATGTGGCTTCTTTGGATTGCCAAAAAATTTTAGATTTGGTCCATATATATGGATTGCAAGCGCATTTTGACATTCTTTTAGATTTTGGTGCTACAATCTGATTTATTGCAACTTAAAGTGGAAATTGATTTATCTTCTCTTCCTATTGTTGGTTAATGCTTATTTACATTGTTAAATATCTTAATTACTTGTCACATCCATTTCACGCTTCTCTTTTTAATGCTGCCATACTTCTAGTTTCTAAGTTGTTATGGATCCTTTGTGTAGGCTTTGGATTATTGCCACTCACAAGGTATTATGCATCGAGATGTGAAGCCTCATAATGTCATGATTGATCATGAGCAGAGGAAGCTTCGCCTTATAGATTGGGGATTAGCAGAGTTCTATCATCCTGGCAAAGAATACAATGTTCGTGTTGCTTCAAGGTTTGTTTCCATCTGATAGTTTATATTCAAGTTCCCAATGTAATGTTCCCATAATCTTTGGTCATTCTCTCTCTCTCTCTCTCTCTCCGTTTTGTAAAGCTCTATCCCCTCCTCATATAATTTGTACCTTCAACAAATAACCTGATGGCCATCATATAACATAATGCAATGCAGCTGACATTTTTTACCAAAGATGACTTCTTGATGGGTTATTGCATGTCATTTATTGATGAATCTCTAATAACTTTGACTCATCAGCTGTCAGTATTATTTGATGCTGTATGGATCACACTTGCATGCAAATGCTTGTGTTTGCTACCAGCACTGCAGAAGCTTTTGCTTCCAGGGTCTTTTTAACCATTTTTATTTTTTATTTTTGTCTAATTTACAGATACTTTAAAGGCCCTGAACTTCTTGTTGATTTGCAAGACTATGATTATTCGTTAGACTTGTGGAGTCTTGGTTGCATGTTTGCTGGAATGGTGAGTTCTTTCCTTCTCTACCATCCATGCATCCCCTTCTTTTTCTTTCATCTTTTAAATGTGGAAAAGTGCTGTTTGCATGATTACTGAGTATGGTTTGAAATAAACTTCTCACTATTTCAAATTCTACTTCTACACTTCTACGGCGTGTTTGGAAGTGGAACCCAACTTATTTTTCCAACAAGTCTTGGACTGAGTCCTGATGATGGACTTCTCAATAGCTCCCTTGGATGGCCTGCTAGAGATTTTGCATTTGAATAAGGATCTCAGATTTATGTTCTTGGTGATGCAATAGACAAGTTATTCTTGCTCTTCTTGCATACTCTTTCATGGGTGACATAACATGGAGGATTAAAAAATGACATAATACCACTGAGCTTTGTGATGCTTCATCATAGTTATTAGGTGTGCCAAGTGCACAGGCTTTGGCGCCTTACACCCTGGAAGGCTGGTGACCTACATCAGCCACACACCTTAACAGGTGCATGCCCCAAGCAGCATAAGGAGACCACATGTTCTCCCCCAGGTTTGTGCCAAGTGCGCACAGGCTTTATAGGGCGCCTTCAACACCCTGGGAAGGCTGGTGACCTAACATCACCACACACCCGTTAACATAGGTTGCATGCCCCAACAGCACACGAATGCATAAGGAGACCACAATGTTTCTTGGCTTACCCCGTCACCCACCTCCCCCACCCCTTTAAGTTATTTCATCAAGGCAATTCTTTACAAGATTTTAGGGATTAACTTACATATTACACACACTCGTAATATTAATGGACACACACACAGTCATATTCACTATAAAATGTAATGTATTATACAGATTCCAACTCATTAAGATAGAAATCCCATTAAGACTTAATTAGTCTATAAAGCATTCTCCCCCCCCACCCCTTTAAGTTATTTCATCAAGGCAATTCTTTACAAGATTTTAGGGATTAACTTACCATATTATGTATATTATGGACACACACTAAGTTATTCACATAAATGAATGTATATAAGATTCCAACTCATTACAAAGAAATTCCCATTAGACTTAACTAGTCTATAAGATTTGGTTGTTATTAGCTGAGCTTCCTATTCTTATTGATTTTGCTTTCTTAGGATTTAATTAAACTCTCAATCCTTTTTTTCTCTTAACTATTCTTATGATTTGATGGACATGATTAACTTTCCTATTTGTAGATTTTCTATAATCTAATTGCCATGACCTAACTTTCCTTTTTCAGATTTAGTTCAACTTCGCTACCTTAGGATTAACTGTTCAAAGACAAAATGTCTATATTTTTAGTTATATTTAGATTTTAAAAAGACTACGCAACGATTCTAAATCTTTTACGTTATTAATGTGACCACATGTGCACCTCAGTCTCATTCTGATGTGCACCTATGCTTTGCGCCTTGTACTTAGGCTCTTGGACCCCTGCAATAATTTTGTGCCCTTTAGTTATGCTTATGATTGTGTCTCTTGTTATGCAGATATTCCGTAAGGAGCCGTTCTTCTATGGGCATGATAATTATGATCAACTGGTCAAAATAGCCAAGGTATGTCAACGCTTATATACTATAAAAAAAAAAAAAAAAATCAGTATCAAATGTTTAAACAAGATACTATAATTTTCATTTTTTTATATGACAGGTACTTGGAACAGATGAATTAAATGCTTATTTGAACAAGTACCGCATAGAGTTGGATCCACATCTTGCAGCTTTAGTTGGCAGGTAGATGATACATCTTGATACATCTACCAGTTTTCCATCTTCTTCAGATATCTGGTTGTCCTAATTGTGATCATTTTCTTCTTGGCGTAGGCATAGCCGGAAACCATGGACAAAGTTTATTAATGTTGACAATCAGCATTTGGCAGTTCCTGAGGTAGAAACTTACAGTATGTAAATAGTTTATATTGCATTATACTTGTTTTAAATGCTTGCGCTATTTCTTTTTTGAAGGCTGTTGACTTCCTTGACAAGTTGCTGCGATATGATCACCAAGAAAGGCCTACTGCAAAAGAAGCAATGGTAAGTCCCTTTTCCATTCACATTTATCTATAGAAACACTTGACTAATTGATCCAAACTTGCAAATTCGTAGTATTTGACTATTTAATTTCTGCTGTTATTATCATTCCTATTGTTAGACTCGAGATTTAATACTATGCCTCCATAATTGATGACTCACCGACATGAAACATCAAGATAAGAGCCTGTTTGACCTGAAGCAGCAACTACAGGACCAAACAGGCCTCAAATAGTCTGATCTATTAAGTGAACTGCATCTGCATATGAATATGTTGGGCTGAATTTTGCCCTTTGTTTTTTTGGGTTTATTGGAATGTGTTTTCGCAGGCTAGCAGATGCTGCCCCTAATTATTTGTTTGCTTGTTTCATCAAATCACATGACTGTTTTTAAGTTAATGACCTTGTTGTTATGCAGGCCCATCCTTACTTCTATCCAATTAGAAATGCAGAAAGCAGCAGGGTTCGTACGTAGTTTCAAATTTCAGGATGCTGTCAAGATACGGCATCTTTCTTCTGCGCTTTGTCAGGGTCTTTTCCCTTGTAATCTGACTGAACTTATAATGTGTTGGTGAGCTTGCATCCAGGAAACCTTTTCATGTTTCTGTTGTTACAAACTGAGTCAATTTTTTAATGCTCAATTTAGATTTCTAAATCTAGATATTTCTGGCTTTATTATTGTAAGTTCACTATGTGCTCCTTTATTCAGGAAACGAATTTTATTACAGTTTTTATTCTGCAGTTTCTTGATTTAGGGGAAGTATCCATATTTTGTTATATATCTTTGTTTGTAAACATTTATATTCTTTTTATGAGTATTCAAAAGGGGGATCCAAACCTGAATTCACCACTAGTTTCTTTTTCTGGATCTGGGAGTCTGAAAATAACACCTTGAACCCAGTGGATTATTTTCTTTTAAATGAAAAAAAAATCCAATTATTCGAGCCTTGTCCCCCTATTATAGTTTTTTTATTCAATGAAAATTTCGTTAGTAAAATTTAAAGGAAAATTTTCGTTAGTAGTTTTCATTTCAAATAAACTGCAATTTAGTTGGAGGCTATTGGATTTGATTTTCTTTTCGTACTAGAATTGTAAATACATTTGAAATTGAGATTTACTAAACAATTTACCCAACAGTAAATGAGCAATTTTTAATTTAATAACTTGTATTTTTAGAGAAGTTTTAGAACCTTCATTAATAAATAATAATATTAATAAAATTATTATATTTAATTAGTGATAAATGTACATTTAATCTGAATTTCTCTTTTTAATACTAAAAAAATATTAATATAAAAAACATAATAATAAGAAATATTTTAATTTAGTGTGGTTATATTTAATTTTTAGAATGAAAACCCTTTTTATTATTATTATTTTTTCATTCTAACTCCAACAATAAAGATTTTTAAGTGAATCACAAAATTGAGATTTGTCCCGGATAAGGGGGTAATTATCTATTTTATTATACAGTAAGTTACGATGACAACTGGAATCCACTAATGGGCAAGTAACTGCTAGGGTTACATGCCTGAATAGGCGTTTTGATAGACATACTGTTACTGTTACTGTATTACCTTGCTTGGTTGCAAGTTGCAAGAAATCAGGAACGGTTGTGGGAGCAAAGTCAGAAAGTCAGAGAGTCAATTCAAAAGCTGCTGCTAACGTTATCCCGTGGAAGAAGTTTTACTGACTACTATTTGCTAACTTATCCATTTTAAATATAAAAAATAAATGTAACGGAAAATTCATGAATACGTAAAATGCATTTATTATTTGAAAAATCAGACACAAACTATTATGGAATAGAGGCACACAGGCCAAAGGGTATCCCTCCATAAATTGTGCAGTCTCCGTTGTATTATTTTTTGCAAACGTTATATTGTCCTAATTTAGCCATTCAGTTTTTCAACATTTAATGCCATCAGTTTCTTTCTTTCTTTCTTTCTTTTGGGTATGCATCATTTTTTTTTTCTTGCTAATGCAATACTACAAAAATGGGTTTGGTTCCTTCTGTAGCTTTGCCCTTATCTTATCCCTTTAACTTTTGACAATGGGGTTGGATTTCTCTGCTTGCTTGCTGATATTCTTCTTTCAATAGTTTCAAATATCAGTTTTTTTTTTTTTTTTTTTTTTTTGGGTTATCCCTGCCATTTAAATTGTGCATCTCCGTTGTATTTAATTTTTGCGAAACGTTATACTATTGTCCTGAATTTAGCCATTCAGTTTTTAGAAGCATATAATGCCATCAAGTTTCTTTCTTATCTTTCCTTATAAGCTTTTGGGATATGCATCATTGGTTTTTTTTCTTGCTCAAATAATAGCAAGCAATACTACAAAAAATGAGGTTGGTTTCCTTCTGTAAGCTTTTGGCCCTTTAGATCTTATCCCTTTTAATCTCTTTTGCACAATTTGGGGTTGGATTTCTCTTGCTTGCTTGCTGATATTCTTCTTTTCAATTAGTTCAAAATATCAGTTTTTTTTTTTTTTTTTTTTTTCTTTTTTTTCAAAGGTGTATATTTAATTTAATAAACATTTCATATATGGATTTCCCTGATTTTCTAAATATAAATTTTATTGGTTTTTTTTTTTTTTTTTTTTTTTTTCAAGGCTTTATTTTATTATAATTTCCATATATGGATTTCTGATTTTCTAATATAAATTTTATTGGGAATTAGTTCCTAACATAACAAAAGCAATTATCTTGTTGTAAAGTGCTTATGTCATTTTGGTACTAATTATAGAATATTTTGTTGATAATTTGCGTTAAGCTTCCAATCTTTGTGGTTCTTATTCTTTCTAAATTTTGGGTACTACTTTTAATTTCTTCTTCTTTTTTTAGTTAAATTCTGCAGTTCTTTTTTGTGGAATAGAATAATTTTCTTTTAAAGTTCAGAGCCTTTAGGTCAATTGACAGAAAGAGAGAGAGAGAGGTTGACTCTTACAAGCCAAAGATCATCCCTATCTCCACCCACCATGACATAGAAAGTGAAACGACAAGGTCTCTACCCAAATTTAGTTGAGGGACAAGTGTCCTTAACTTTCTTAGTTGATGGGAAGTGTGTTATGGAAAATAAAACCCACTTTTCCCTTCCCTTCCCTTCCCTTGGCCTTGACCTTACCTCCATTGTCCTCTTTTGACTGTATAAGGCAATTATTAGGTTTATCTAAAAGAGTATCAAATGGAAAATTCAATGCACCAAAAACTATCCAAATAGCAACTTCCTGTTTGTTAGGGACGCTACTAATCCAAAATAGGATATCCCATGCTACTGGATCTTCGTCATTTAAATTTAAATGGTTCACTCTAATTTTTAATTGATTTTATCTTTTTTCATATAGAGTTAAATTAATAATTGATTTTATCTTTTTTCATATAGAGTTAAATTAATAATGAGAGAGTTCACTTTTCTTAGAAAAAAGTAAAAATCTATACTTAAATTCATTGAAAAAAACTCAAAAATACACAAATTTATATGAAAACATTTTTAGAATATGTTCGATAAAATGAAATATTTTAACAGCCGTTAGCAGTCAACTATTTAACTATTGTTTCATTTTTATAAAAAATAAAATTTATAATCTGTATTCTCGTAACTCTAAATATTTTCTATAAATGCTATAGCCCATCAATGTTAATTGTTTATAAAAAAAAAAAAAAAAAAATCATTTTTAAGTATTAGATTTTCAATTCCAAATCTACTCAAACCAAACAAGAAAGAAAGAAAGAAGGAAAATGGGGTCAGAAATAAATCCATGTGAGCCAACTAATTCTAGTACCAAAACAGGAGTTTTGTTTGTAGGAGAGCCCTTAATTAGGAGGGCAGAAGTGGGAAGGTAATAATTGGCGACAAGATTAGGACATAAGAATCCCAACCTCATATTGGTTAACAGACATTTGGCATATAATCCGATACTTGGGACCGGCAATGAAGGGACCATACACACCTCATTTACATATTTATCATCTGTTACTTCTAATGTCTTAGTCTTATTGAAATGATGGAAAATACACGACTAAAAAGGTTACATTTTTATAAATATCACTAAAGCAACAATTGTCCATCGCAACCAGACAAAATACGATTTTCTTTTTTTTTTTTTTTAAAGTTATAAAACATAAACAGAAAAATATCATTTACCATTTATTTTCTATCTTGTTGGAAAATTTTTTTTATTTGCCACGTTTTTCTGTATTTGAGTTGAGACGATATCCAAATAAAATCTCTCCAATTCGTTTAGAAATATAGTTTATTTTTCTTATTTAATCAATTTATAGTAAGAATAATTAATTATTCAGTAAATTTTTTTTAAAAATATTATATTTTTTACTTGATAGTGACTTTTTATTGTATAAAAATAAATTTTAAATATTGAAGTATTAATTGAAATTATGAAATTGTAATTTCTAATATAGCTGCAATCTTGTGTTTTTATTATTGTTCGAATAAAGTAGTATCCAATTATAAATGAAAAAAAAAAAAAAGGATAAAAATTCAATCTTTTCCTTTCTTTCTTTCCATAAATACATTATATTATATTTTATAAAATGAATTCATTCCTTATAGATCCAAAAAAGACATGTGGGTCCATCTGAATTGAGACAAATAGAAAAGGCAAATTTTAAGGCCTTATAGTACTTTCATTTCATTCACATAGACAACTCCTTCCAAAGGTGAAAATGCATTACAATCGCAGCCCCACCACCACCACCACCACCACCATCATCATGCATGTCATGATCATGCATATCATGATGCTCCATACATACATTCATGATGATTAAATGATGGGATGGGCTGATGGGACTAGTGAGAAACGTGGCAAAACAAGGGATTTGGGGATCCAGAATTTGTTCTTATCCTCTCTCTCTTCTCCTCTCCATTAGGCCCATACTTTCCGTTTCAGTACTTTTTGTCTTCTTTTACTACCCCTACCTTCAACAACTACGTACCATATTATTTATTATTATTAGGTTAACATTTATATTAATTGTCTTATATAAACGTGTCATTTTAAGGGCATTCTCTTGCTTTATTTCTATTTTCAGTGTAATTATTATTTTTTTTTTTTCATTTACATCAGATGATGCTTCAATCCACTTATGCAGCTGAAGCGATTCAGCTCTCAATCGAGTGGAATCATTTTAATAATAAAAAACTTAAATTTTTATATCTCGAAAGTTTATTTTCGTCCATCCTTAATGGGTATTTCTTATTTGTATATATATCTGATAAAACAAGATTAAAAAGGTTGCATTGAGATAGACAATAACAATAGAAAGTTCATTTGCAGAGGAGAGCCAGAAGTAGAAATTTTAGGGTTGTGACGTTTCAATGAAAAGATGGTTATAAGTGGAGTCAATCTGATATTCGGGTAACGGGGAAAAAAAAGTAATTGGAAAAATTAGAAAGGTGTAAAATATATATATTAATAATTAATAAATATTGGGTATATAGAAATAAAACAAAATAATGTTTGTTTACTGTATAGTTAGAAAAGCAGAAATAGGAAAAAGGATTTAGTTTATGTGTGAGCCATAATATTTGTGTTAGAAAGTGCAAGAGCTTTTCAAAGTGGATGAAATCCGAATCAAATGAGAATGCACACTCAATCTTTTACTTGCCATATATATAAATATATAGCAGTTTCCATCAGATTTCTCTTTTTCAAAAGCAAATCCAACTTAATTAATCAAATATTCAAATATCCCTCATTTCAACTTCTAGCTAACGAAATATAAATATTCTTCCTAAGCAAATATTCATATACAGGGT